TCACTAATAATAATTATGTAGATGATCTTACTATTGACGATTGATCAATGATATTCATTTGAATGATTTAATTATTCAAGTGTTATTGCTCACATTCACTTCGTATTGTTTGTTTGAATCATTGTATTGATGTGTTAGGATTGCGATTGATCAGTGTGTTATTGGCATATTTGCATACTATGCGTGTTGCCTCAATATTACTTTAAGTCACAAGCTATCTGAGATGAAATGTGTGTTGTGGATTCCACTGGTAGCCCCCCCCCCACATCCATCATTTTATTTATAATGCTTGTGAATGAGAGTAATTTCGAGACAGTCTACATAGAATGCATATATATAGCAATAAGAGACTGATTAATTACACTGCTAACCAACAATGAGAAGATACAAGCAAACGATATCAAATAAATTTCAACTTCATCCACAACTTCATGCACAAGCAGTTGACTGTCACTACTCAATATGTAAGTGATAACATGATGGTGTTTGAAGTGAACAATAGTGGGTTCGAGTCTCGAAGTGAACATCAATCTTGTGTATAATGTATGTAGTTGGGAAAACATTTACTTAATATAAACACGTAAACTAATAACGAATTGAATTTGGCAATTTCATGAGAATACAGAGAAGCGTATATACAACATTCATTTGTTTAAGTCATGTTGTGAAGGAAGTTGGTTAAGATTAAGAGAAAACGATTCGGAATCAACTTTGTTTGAAATGAAGAACTTTGGTTTTTGAATTTTCATGATTTTTGTTATTTTGATTTTGAATGCTGTTGAAAAAATTACTGACTATAATAACCATTGGAAATGGTTGAATAATGTTGAGTTTGTGGAATAAAATGATCTAAATTAGATCTGTCCATCGACTTAACTCCACATTTACTGAACCATACTAGAAAGTGTTTACCGTAAATGGATGTGAATGAATAGAACGTTGGCTAATAGAAATGGTTGTACAGGGGTAGTTGAAATTCACTTTCATTAAACTGTATGTTGTGGAAATTTTTTTGGATTTCGCAAATTGTATCATGAACTGATATGAACAAGACTAACATTGAGTACAGATGAAGAACACTCTGTCATTTTGTCTTGACATAGAAGTGCTTGGAATTGTTCATCCACAATATCATCAGGTATCGAACCCATGATCTCAAAATATAGTTTGACAACATGGTCTTGAGATAAGTATGTTTCCATTTAATGGTTGATGCATTTAACTCTGGTCAACTCACTATGCTTCTCAATTGTCATCCGATGTTGTTGGTGAACAACTCCTTCAGTACTGATGTGCAGTATCTCCACTGATCACATCTTCTTATTAGGACTCGGGGAATTGCCCTTCGGAATTAATCTACAGTAATGATATGATGTTTTTTAGTGTTGGTTGGTTTCACAGTGTTGAATTTTGTATTTATCATTTGATATAATAACTCGCCTAATTATTAATTATAATATTACTCCTTTGATTCCACATTAATTACATATTTACTTGATTACATCTGTTATCCGTTTCGGAGGAGGATAGACCTCTCGCGAAACCGATTAGGGTTAAAACAAGTGATTTCCCCTCATGTAATTGTTAACTTTTTAAACGATCCAAGTTCATTGATGTTCATCTTTAATTTAGATAAGTTCGAATGAGATTTCATATGAATTTTTATGGATTTTATTATTTACATGATGAATTAATCTTAGTTAGAGAGCTATTGAAGATCAGTAAGCATTAGGTATCTGTTTTGTCCGGGTATGAAACTCCTAATCAATGAGTATCCATGACCCCTCCTGAATGAACTAATTGAAGTTAAACATGTCAATCATTGGATACCAACTCATTGGTCTAAAGGTGATGAGTTCATCATAAGACCTGAAGATCCTACGTTTAACGCTCCAATGAGTAGTGTTTGAGAATTGCTCAAGAATCTCATACTAAGATGAAACAGATATCCATGGCTTCCTTGTTTTCAATGGTTATCTAAGTAAAACGAGTTCGTTATACAGATTATACAATCTCCTGTTATCTGAAAGTATTTTTAATCAAAATCTCTAGTTAACTGTAAAATCTAATAGTATCATGTTGTAATGAACAGGCTGTAAATGTTTCTGTACAGTAGCAAACTTATAGACTTGAATAAGGTAGTCCTTTAATCCTCTTTTGTCTTTATCATTTGTCCAGATGATGTCAACATAGAACATTTTATTGCCATATCGACAAACATCTAAAAACTAAGCTTAAATTACAGGTAACCCAATATCTCTAACTAAAAAGAACCAAAGAGAAGTTGAAAATTTTAAGAATCGTGGTATTTTTAATCCTACTAGGAGTTATCAAATACAGTAACATACGTCTGTATAGGGTTGTGGAGATTGTTGAATTTCATTGAAATTGTGAACTGATATAAGTCAAACCACCATTGAAAACCTGGAAGCGCTGAACTGCCTTTTCGTTCCGTAAGAGGCTCCTCAGCATTACCCATCCACGGCCTGTCACGAGAGATTCGAACCCAGGACATTCAGTTTGGCACGCAAACTCTTGACCTCTAAACCACTGAGTCAGCATCCAACGGTCTTAATGTTTAACCTCAGTCAATCTACGACATCGCACGACCATGTTTCACTGTCTTCGGTTAGTAACTGCTTCACACCCGACACGGATTAGCTTCGCTTCTCACAACTTCTCACTAGAATTATCTCTTACATCTAGTTACTAGTGAGCAAATGATAATTACCACTATACGGTTGTGGTTGATCAGTTCATGATCTGGATCCAAAGTCAACGATCAGCGATCAGTTTTTAAGTAGTGGCAAGATTATAACGATAACGTTTGCAATTTAGTCACAAATCTAAGTGAATTGATGACATCGCAATGGAGTTTTTTGAAAGCAATCAATAACAACCTTAGGATGTAAGCCTGATGCTGTTTTGTACAGCCTTGAAAATTATTTCTTAACCTTGGGGAAACAGACACTTTTTAAAAAAAATATATTGCCGTCACATTACCATACTTCAGGATTTAAAAGACCGAATTGATAATACTAACTTTTACAATTCCACGTGCTATAAACTATGGTCCACCAGGGTGCTTGGTACCTATGTGGTTGCGCCACAGGATTGAGCTGTACCATTCAGATTGTAGCGTAAAAGCCTATACGATGTCTGGTTCTCCTATGAATCGGGATTGAGCTGTGCTGATCGGGTTATAAAGTTTAAGCCTGGACGGTGTCTGGCTCTCTTGTTAAACGGGATTGAGCTGTACTGTTTGGGTTGTCACATGAAAGTCTGGATGATATCTGGTTCTCCTGAATACCCAATGTAAAATTACCTTGGCCCAAAAAGGCATGTTATATAACTGATATAAACTAACATGTTTTATAAGTGAAACCCCTTAAACAACATAACGGCTCCTCATTACTTTGTTTTACAAAGTAAACCTAACAATCATGCACATTGGATTGATTAAAATATTTTGTATTTCAAATGGTTGAGAGATTTGAAGTGATTATTCAATTTGAGGATATTTTGCTTCTCAGATTGACTCTAATAGACAATTATAGTGGGAAGCCATAAATAATAAAGTACAACCATGTCCCATGTGGTACATCTATCAACGACGATAATCGACAATGGTCGAGGAATAAAATAAATTAACTGAAGTTAAACATAGAAACTATTGAGTTGAAGCTCAACTGTCTAATGGTATTGTAGTCTTCATGGTTATACTAGTCCCTTCATTCCATACCATGATGTTGAGACTATCATTGAAAGTTTATTATGAACCAAGCTATTGAACTGGATAGATTAATATATGAATTTTTAAATACAACTATGTACCAGGTCATAACATCTATTGGAAGACATCAGATTTCATAAGTGTAAAATTGAATTACCCTCATAAACACATTGTATATTCAATCATTTACAGTTGAATTAACAATCATACAAACCATAGATAATTTCAAAAGTGACATACGACATTCTGACTTTCATTCAACATCAGTATTCCTAGATCTTACAGAAGTAATCAGACAAAGAAGAATTCCCCAATTATTTCTAGTATGTATGTTGTATAGGCATGTACACTTAACAGTTTTGGAGATGTACTACTTATTTGGATTGTGAAAAGAAATCATATTTGTGTGTGTGTGTGTGTGTGTGTGGTCAGCTGAATAATTTTCCTTGACTAAGTAAGATAACATCTAACTTTGAATTAATTTGAATTGTTCAATATAGTTTATAATTTTCCATAAAATTATCATACTGATTATTATTGTTGTTTGTAGGCTTGGCAACAAAATACTCCGAGTAATAAAAAAAAATTCATTATATTTGTATAAGCCAGTTATTCAAAGAATAAATAAACAATCTACCCAGTGATTAATAAGCAAAGATGGATAGTAGTTAGTAGTGAAATCCATGATGCACGTTTCATCCTATTTGAAACTCGTCAATTGGATGTACCTGTATCTCAGAGTTGATGTTCACTCTGCGACTCGAACCCAGTATCATTCGCTTCAAAACGCCATCACGTTATCCATTTAGCTACTGAGTCCCAACAGCCACCTGTTTGTGCAATGGGATGAAGTTATATTCACTTTGTGATGTTTACTTGTATCTTTCCATTGATGTTTAAAACTACGATTGATCAGTCTGTTGTTGGCATATGTGCATCCTATGCAGATTGCCTCGATATTGCTTTAAGTCACAAGCTTAATAAACAAAGATGGATGATATCTAGCAGTGGAATCTTGGACGCGCGTCTTATCCTATTTGGGACTCGTTAACTGGATGTACCTGCATCTCGTACTTGATGTTCACTCTGGGACTCGAACCCAGTACTGATGGAGTCCTAAATAACAATCAGAAGATACAAGTAAACAACACCAAGTGAATACCTATTGATTAGTTTATTTAAAATGATCTAGTCAAACCTTGATATTGATATCAATTATGTTTCTAGTTCTTTCCTTTTTTTTCTCTCTCTCTCTTTACAAATTTAGATATGACTTATCAACTTTATGGTACAACTCATGGATTATCACATTGTTCTTTATTAAATGGATCATTAATTAATCCATCTCTATTACCTTCATTTCCAATATGTGATGATAAAAAAACAATTCATTTATTGAATAATTTAAGTAGTATATTCACGGATCAATATAGTGAACATACTACTGATAGATTGAATACATTTAAAAGTATAGAAAGTAATTCATGTATGACAATTTCAAAACCTACTAATGTAATGGATACAAATCATGGTAACTATAGTTACAATTGTGAACAACAACAACACCACCATCACCAACAACAACAGCAACAACAATTAATATTTAATAAAACAAATTCATTAGAATTAAACAAACCAACATTTATGCTTTCACGTTTATTAGATAAAATAAGTAATAATATAGAGAATAATGATTCAATTAGAGAATTGATGACAACAAGCACATCAACTATAAATAATACCATTGATACATTGATTTAATTCATTGAAAACAAATAAACAAACATTGAATGAATAATTCATTGTTCAATTAAACATTGTTCGTTACAAATGGATAGAAATTTTATGATGCAGTCTTATAGACATCATTTCGAGTTTCCTGTTGTATGTTTTCTGTTTCATGTTTTCAATCCTCCTCCTCCTCTTCCTCCTCCTCCTCCTCTTCCTACTACTACTACTACTACTACTTCTTCGTCATCCTTGTCATCATCGTCATCATCATCATCATCATCTTGATTAACATTTCCATCAGTAAAGCAAAGTTGATCTACAATTTCATTTGTTCCTGAAATCAATCATATTTCTTTTTTATAATAACCTTTTTAATGAAAAAAATATTGTTCATTTAAATGATCATTTCTGATTATACTACTTATATTACTTATATTGTTTACAATATAATGTTAACTGAACAATTCCAATCATCTAGTAGTATATAGTTGTAACGAGAAAAAGATAACGGTACCGTAAATACAATAAATACATTGTTATGATTGTATATACAGATATATAAGGAAGAATAAAAAGAAAGCCAAAATCCTCTTTATATGTTAAATCCTTTCCATTTGTTTATGCAAGAGATATTATCATTATTATTATTATTGAATATGGTTAGTAACAATAGTAGCGATAATAATAATAATATGTCTTGTCGTTTAATGCTTCTTGTTATATCTGGTCGTCGCTGTAATTGAATGGAAGAGATAGCCATTTTCGGAATCAGCACGTTAATGAAATATACTGCATGACTAATTAATAATCAATGTCGTTCAAGGACACCGACGAGAATTCTGTATACTGATTGTCTTGCCTCTTTCTCCACCCCATCGCCACTGACATGTCTTGTTGTTTAGTGCTTCTTTTTATATTTGCTCGTTGCTGATTGTTGTGTCGGAAACGCTTATCACTTATACACGAAACGAGGGACCTGTGCAAATAATAATAATAATATGGAAAAGTTGATCATTCTCGCTTGTTCTTAAATGTACATGGACTATTGAAACAACATACAATATTCTATGGTTCATTAGTACGAGTTCAGTATTCGAATCCCCAAAGTCATGTGATATGTAGAAATATTGTTTTATTTACTTATTCGATTGATATAATAATGAAATATAAACAAGTTGCATTTAAAAAATAAATAACTTTTGGTTGTTAACATAGAAACAGAATATAAATGATGATAAGATGGTTTCTATAATTGAAAATCTTCAGCATACAATATTCTCTTCTAAATGAGACTGCTTAAATGATATAGTTGTGGTGTGGGCTACTTATATCCATATAAGTAGTATATAACGATAGTTCACTATATAGCTATCCTGCTTGATATGTCTGACAAGAATTTATGTTTAAAACTTCTCCTAACCATAGTCTTGTATTGAGTAGTGAAAATATTCACTTGATATTTATGTTCAGTTAGCTTTAATAGTATATTGTAGTGAATGAGAACAATAGTAGGGACAAGCAAACGTATTCGGACACAGAATCACTTAGTAAAATGTGAGAATCATACAGTGAGCCCTTCATTTTTTTAGTTAAAATACTTCTGTAGTTATATCTGCTATTCTTAAACTGATGGAAGCAGTTAACTAGGTTTGATTTGAAACGTCCAAGTTCCTGATCAAAGGTCGGTATTAGATCAAATGTCTGACGATTTAGGTTTCCTCGTTGGATGCCCGTATCGATATGATTTACCTTGTAAATCCTTCATTTGAAAAATGTCTCAGATTTGATTGTTCTTTTGTTTCTACACCAATCACTGTTTTTTTTCATTCTCTTCACTTCGATCTTCTTGACATTCTGATGCTACGCATTTCACTTTCAATTGATGATACATACTACTTATATCAACAATAAAATATAATACTGTATAATTCATATTATTCTGTATATTGCAAAGCGTATAAATTATAGGCGTATTATGAACAACAGATAATTCCAAAAACATCATTCAGTAAATAATTGCTACTGTCAGTATGCCTTGTGGTGATTGTTGAATGTCATTGAAATTATAAAGCAATTCTCAGTTGTGGGGTCGTGGATGTCCACTGTTGAGGAGTCCCATACTAAAGTGGAATGGATATTTAGTACCATCCACGTTTTCAACATTGTCTAATTACGATTGTGTCGTAGTTTCAATCAGTTTATTATTATTTTATCAATAATACTCAGATTTCTTCTCAGAAATTACCTGAACTCTTTAAAAACAGATGAATCATCGAATTCTAACTCCATAAAACTACTCGAATCGTCGAATAGGAATTTCCTCTGTGTGTTGGACGGCATACACAACTGATGAAGAATAGCACATTAAGATGTAAAAAATGATTATCGGATTAATTCCAGTCACTAACCGATATCTACATAAATGTGTGAGTAAAATATAGTGGATTCACACAACTATTTTAACCCTTATCTTGTTTCGTTGAACATTAGGATGGTTAACTAAGATGTCATCAACTTGAATTATGAAGTTATTTTGACAATTTTTGAACTTCTTTTTCAATATAAATTATAAATTGATGAGAATAACTATTTTATTCAGTTTCGTCCTAGTACGCGACTCGTCAGCAGTGAGGATCTACGATCCCGCTGGGGGGATTCGAACACAGGACTTTCGGTCTCGCGTGTCAATGTTTAACCTCAAGATCATTGAGTTGGCATCCAATGGTGTTAATGTCTAACTTGTTAGCTCATTGTTTAGTTATACTCGAGCAATGTTAAAACAGTTATCTAACACTTCATGGAATTTTAATGACTATTCGACATATTTAACTTCAGGTATAAAAATAACTTTAAATATATAATATCTCCTTTAAAATAATTAACATTATACTCATTTTCTCATTACGAAAGACTAGTTTGAAGCTAGATTTTCTAAGTTCTAGTAAATAGATGTTGCGGATAATGTCACTGAAGTCAAAAGTGAGATAGCAACGTACTGATGAAGTTGAATAAGTATTACTGTATAACGCGGATCAGTTGAATCAGAGAATGTGTGCAGCTTAATGATGTTTCTTTCTACAGACTAATTCTTTCGTCCTGTACTATATATATCCTTATACATAATGTTTCTTTTATATATTACTACCATTGAATTAACCACTTCTATGAATTTGGTGTTCATCATGTTGTTCTAATGAGGTGTGGCAACTTGAATTGATGCATATATGTGCCTGGTCGTATGTTGTAGCTGACTGACTGAGCTTAATGATACCTTTGTCACTAAATGAAACCAAAAACCATTGAGCTCTATGGAGCATGTGTTTAGGCAAGTCTCTAAAATCAATCAAAACATATTTCCTACAAACCATGAATTTCAATATTCATTTGTTCTTAAAACCACGTGTCTGAATAAGAAAGTTTTCATTACCAGTTCATATTCATCAAGATTCTATTGATGATCCGATGAACAGGTTGTAAGCCTTGATACGATCACAAACTTGAGCTCCCGAACATATATATATTCTTATTACTTTTATCATAAGCTTTCATTTGACCTATTGTTTACTGTAATACAAATTACCATCCTTAATTTATCCCCAATCAAATAGTTACAGTATCTCACACTCACAGCCACTTTTGGCCTGATCTTGTCTATAATTATTACTTTCTATTTTATTCTATGATAACGCCCAGTTTTCTTGTTTATAGACTGAGTACGTCCGAAATACATAACTCATACAGTGGAAGTTGAGATTGTGTCCTGACATTAAACAGATAAGGCTAGGCAAGAAAGACCAATAAGAAGTCAAAGTTAATTCTAGGCTGCTCGTAACGATTAACGCATTATTGGTTTGACACATTGCCATAGTTGTATAAGTCGATGTTGTAATTGGTGACTTAGTCATATGATAATTAATAGGGCCTAAGAATATAGCAGTTCATATAAATGTTAACTCAAAATGAAACTAGTTTTTAAATCCAATATATATGTATACTGTGAGCAGAGTCTGATTAAGAACTAATTAAAGCTATGGTATATTGAACATTAATAGATCATTATATCCCAATGCAGTAATTCATAGTTAACTCAATCTGCATACAGTTTGAATGTTCTAGATTTAATTACTGAGAGAACTCACGTGTATACACACCTATGTCATCACATATTAGATTGAAAATTCTGTTTCAATGATCAATCTCTGTATTGTAAGCTCAGTGAGACTATAATTAGTGGACAATCTTTGAGCGACCCACGATTGACCTTGAAAGTGTCCACTTAATACCCAGGACTAAATAAGGGTTATAAATCTATCTGAGGAATTACAATGATCATTTACGGTTAATGAATTCGATTTAGGGTTTTTTTTTAAATCAAGAACTGTAACATCAGATATAATGTCAACATTCTATTTATCCAAATGGACGAGTGAATTTCGTGCCAACATCCAAAAATCTGTCATTTTATATCTAAATGGTTCATCTATAAAGTATAATCTCACTGTAAACTCTTCTCAGAACAAAACGTTAACGTAGCATTTCTCTAAATCTTCCATTCCGACGAATTAACTTTTCCTGTTCTCTTTTCTTTTCTTCTCGTTTCTTCTCGTTTCTGATGATCATTCTCATTAATCAGACACTTGTACATTTATTCCATTAAACTAAATCAATTGATTATCCATTTATTTTACAAATTCTATACAAAAAAAGAAAAAAGAAAAGGGAAAACAACAATCTCTGATTAAGGACATTTCACTTCTTTTTCTTTTTTTTACTTATTATTATCCTCATTCTTTGTTTAGATTAGCCTTGTGTTTTTTTTTCTTTTTGCATTTTGATTGCTGTTATCGTTGTTGCTGTCGCTGTTGTTGTTGTTGTTGTTGGTGGTGGTGGTGGTGGTGGTTGTGTTGTTGCCAATATTTATAAGATCCATTTGATTTGTTTGAATAAAATCACTTTTTATGGAACATTAATGACCATATAATCATTATGATGATTATGATTATTATTATTAAATTGGTATTGTCAATGGA